TTAGGGGGGCCCCTAGAATAATGTCTAGAGATTTGAGGCTTTAAATCTTTATTCCTTTTCTTTGCCTTTAGATTTGCTTTACTTACCATTGAAATTGCAGGTCTTTGGATTTAGATTTCCATTGAAATCTAAAAAGTTAGTTCTATTTCCATTGATTCATTCCCTTTTAGAATTCTAATTAAAATTCCAGATGTCTTCAAAGTCAGGTTTCTTGATTCCTTGTATTTTAATATTGCCAGAGTAGCTCCAGAGGTAGCTAGCTAAGGATTCCTTATTTATTTATCAACTGATTGTTTTTCTAGCATATGATTCTAGAGGCCCCAATTGTTGAGGGGGAGGGGGGGGGTTGATTAATCAAGAGTCAACATTATCGTGTAAGGAACGGCTAGCACGGCACACTGGCGAGGATAGCGGTCCGCTCAATTTAGTATGCAGGCATGCTTCCAGCTTCTAAACATCCTCTGCGCCAAGGTCAGACCTCCAAATAATAGGTCGGCACCTCAAGCAACACATGCTCATGCTCCGCAGCCTACAGGGGTGGCGCTAGGAATGTTTACGAGAGCTGCCCTCCTGAGTGCACGCAGGGGGGCGCGGCTTGAGCGCGTGCAGCTGCACACGCAACCATAAGCGCTGCAAGCCAGCCAGGGCTCCAGTAAATGCAACTGTTTTGCACAAGCGGGGTGGGCAAACGTACCCACGAGTAAAGCCGAAAAGAAACTCGAGAGAAAGAGAGAGAGACATAAAGTTTGAAACACAAATGGATAACTGCACCCTTGCATCTTCCAAACCTCCCACATGACATGGAAACAAACGAAAACACTTCGCAAACCTTTGGGGTGAATCCTCATGATTCAATGCGGCATCTATCATGCTAAGTTTCGCTAGATTGCGGTCGCGTTGTTCGTTCTCTATAATCAGCCTCCGACATCGGGCCGCGCTTCTGCTGCATCCGGCCAGAATCATTGCATGGCCCATCATGTTTTCCCTCTTCTGTTTCTTTCTCCTGATCTTTAAAAAGCCTATTTTCTTGTTGTCCTTTTCGATTGTTGTTGGTGACTCTCATTAGTTTGTTGCGGTCGTTGTTGTTGGTGGTGGTGGCGTCGATGTGGGGGGCCGGCAAACTTGATGACTCGGTCGAACCCAGTTGAGCCTGGTCACAGTGAACCAGGCGAACCTGGACTGTATGCAAGTGCACTGTAGGGTCCCGGTACAGAGTGAACTTGTCTGAAGCCAGATGGCCTACACGTGTATTAAATTAAAATGAAGGAAGCAATGTACACCATGTACTATCAAGGGAACATTTTGTTCGACGTCCCTTAACAACAACCAACTGCAGAGTGATTCGATCTTTGTTGTCCAAGCAGTGTGGTCACACTATCGGCGGCTGTATATATGCATCAACATGCCTCTCTATACATGCATCTTCATTGGGCAAAAAGACTGTGCAATTGCTTTTGGAGAAGAGGAACGTGTACTCTAGATAAATCCGTGCGCTTGAAAACAAAGGTCCTGCCATGAAGCACACAAGAAGGCCCTGCCTGTCACCTGCGCCGGAGCCTGCGCTTCCAGCTCAACTTCCGGGTCTCCCGTTTCATTTTGATACGGATCCGGTCTAGCACTCTGCGGCTTGCAGTTCTTGAGCTCACTCTCTGTCATATATCCTGCTAACATGTCCCACCACAGATCCATAAGCTTCGTAACTGTAGGCTAGTGGACGGGGATAGATGTGTATATTGGACGGGTACAGACGTGTATTTGACGGGAATTTCCGGGTAGAACAAACTTGCCACGCGGCGCTTTTCTTCAACAAAATGAAGCCCTGCCGGTTTGACAAGCTCTAAATCTCTTGAGGGAGCAGCGGACCGGCAAAGGTATCTCAATAATCCTGACCTAGCTGCTGTTCTCATTTGTCACCGTATGACAGGCTTTGGAAGTGGGAAAATGCCACCCAATACAGCAAAAATGACTACAGTGGGAAAATGCACTTGAAAAGACGTTTGTGTTTTTTCCTGAAAGACGTGCAGTGCACAGGAATTTCTGAATGCACAATTGTTTTTATCGTTTGAGGCTGCAGGTATGCGCTCGCTAGATCTTCGAAGTCCATTTCGACCGCACAGGCTCGCACAAACTATGGTTGGAGCAGGCGCTTTCCTCAACTGCCATGCGCATGGCACCGGACTTGGCGGTCACTTTTCGGCGGCGTAAGGCTCAGGTGGGCTTTTCGTGGCAGGTGTAGCTGTCCAATCCAGCTTCACTTCGCAAGTTGCGCGGCAGGCGTAGCACTTTGTGGGTGCACAAAATCTTGTGGCGGGCGTGGCATGTCAAAGCAGGCGCAGCAATTTGTGAACCTCGCTGAGCAAATTTCACGGCAGGTGCAGCACTTTGTACAATTCAACCAGTACATTCGTCGTGGCAGGCACATGACTTTGTAAACCTCAAAGTGCAGATTTTGTGGCAGGCGCAGAAACAATCAACGTGCAGATTTCATGGCAGGGGCAGCAATCCTTGAACCTCAAGCGCAAATATTTTGTGGCACACGTATGTGAGCCCTTTCATATGTGCGCTCTCACTGGCTCTCCCTTGCGTGCTCTCACATATGTGCTCTTATGTGTGCTCTTTGATGTGTGCTCTTTCATACCTGCGCTCTCATGTGTTTGCTCACAGCTCACATGTGTGTGCGTGCGTGCGTGTGTGTGTGTGTTGTGTGTGTGTTTGTGTGTGTGTCCACCCCTGGAAAAAGGGTTCTCAACCAACTTCGGCAGGGGGATCAGGGACGTTTGGCTTGGCCTGATCCAACGAAGCTCCAGCCATTCGTCAGGTTTCTCGAGGGACGCCTTGAGAACGTACCTGCTTCGAACACATTGACACCAATGGTCCACCCTGCCGCTTTTCGTTGTTTTCATGGTCCTTCTTCATGCTACCTTCCCCCAAACAACGGGTTTTTCCACTGCACTTTTCAGCCGAACGTGATTTGCAGCCAGCCGCCAACTGCAGACTTGCACCTGAGGAAACATTTTTAAACAATACTGTTTTGGCCGACTCATGCGCCTTGCCGTTCCCTCACCTTTTTCCCAACGTGGTAACTGCGTCACTGAATACAAGTGTCAGAGTGTGTTTCGCTCAGCCGTCCCACTCGGGTGCTGAGTGTGATCCCCGTCACAGGGGCGCTGTTTTTTGCATCGGAATTCAACAACCCCAACGTACCACTTTTCACTGGACCTTCACCGGAAGTCACGGCCACCCCCATAGAATCAACTGATGCATTGGCCGCCGGGCCCAAAAACGGCATTGCTTCGACAGCCGCCGGGCTATAAAACGGTGCTCACCCCCCATGAGGCAGGTTCCCCAAACCCCCCCCCCGCTGTGTTCTACTCCCTACCTATTTAGGGCAACATAGGGAAATAGTACTCGACACACTTGTGTGTCGGTGCCTTTCCCTGTGTTGTTCCTGTTCTAGTCTTTCCTACCCGGGCGGTCTAAGACTAAAGTCCCGCTCCCTAACTAGTGCACCTAATTCACTTCGTCTAAGTATTCAGTAATTCTAGAGTGCTAGGTAGTCAAACACACACACGTACACACACATGGACATACACCCCCTCCCTGCCCCCCGCTTTCCTTCTTGCGTTTTTTGTCGTTTGTTGGGCTTTCTCTCAGGCTTTTTAGGTTGTTCTTGAGGCTCGTTTCCCTACCCCAGTCAAGGGCTAAGTATTCATTTTCATTTTTTCTACGCCTATCTTTCTCTCTTGCCCTCTTAGCGCTGCTCTTTCTGTGTTTCTTTCCTTTTGTTTCTAAGGCTTTTTAGGTATCTATTCAGGCTTTCCACGCACGCGCCGCCAAGCGGCACCGTGTCTGTGCCACCGTTCTTTGAAAAAGCGCCGAAGCCGGCGATTTGTGTGTGTCCACCCCTGGAAAAAGGGTTCTCAACCAACTTCGGCAGGGGGATCAGGGACGTTTGGCTTGGCCTGATCCAACGAAGCTCCAGCCATTCGTCAGGATATTCTCGAGGGACGCCTTGAGAACGTACCTGCTTCGAACACATTGACACCAATGGTCCACCCTGCCGCTTTTCGTTGTTTTCATGGTCCTTCTTCATGCTACCTTCCCCCAAACAACGGGTTTTTCCACTGCACTTTTCAGCCGAACGTGATTTGCAGCCAGCCGCCAACTGCAGACTTGCACCTGAGGAAACATTTTTAAACAATACTGTTTTGGCCGACTCATGCGCCTTGCCGTTCCCTCACCTTTTTCCCAACGTGGTAACTGAGTCACTGAATACAAGTGTCAGAGTGTGAGGGTTCTCACTGATGTGGTCTGTTATGTGTGTTCTCATGCACGTCTCTCATATGTATGCTCACTCATTCCTGCGCTCTCATATGTCTTCTTTCAGAATGTGCTCTCATCTGTGTGCACTCATGTGGGCGCTCTCATCGTGTGGTCTTATGTGTTTGCTCACATGCGTGTGCTCTTGTGTGTGCAATCTCATGTTCGCTGTGCTTGCTTATGTATGCTCTCACGTGTGTGAGTACCGTGATATGGGCGCTCAGTCATGCTTGTGCTCTCAGTGTGCTCTCAGTTTCTCCTGCGCTTCATCCGTCTCAAGTGTTTGCTCACACATGTGCAATCTCGTATGTGTGTTCTCATGCAAGGTGTTCCCATGTGTGTGCTCACAACTGTGGCTTCTCTCACATATATATATAGTTCTATCGTATGTATGTTATGTATGTTATGTTATGTTATGTTATGTTATGTAATGTAATGTAATGTAATGTATGTATGTATGGATGAATGAATGCATGTATGTATGTATGGATGGATGGATGGATGGATGGATGGATGTTTGTGTGCGCTCTTTGATGCGTGCTCTTTCATGTGCACACTCATCTATGTGTGCTCTCAAGTTCTCATTTGGGTACTATACATATATATATAGGTTTGCTCAAAAATGTGTGCGGTGCCACTCTCATGTGCACTCCACTATGTGCCCTCTAAAGGCCAAAATCATAGCAGCTATACTGCTATACTGCGGAAAAGTGGGTGTTGAATGGTTTTGCAATGCTTTGCTTGGAAGCCTGTTCATGTCCATCCTCAATCCTGATCTCGTCGAGGAGGGAAAGAATGTAAAGAAAGATTACTCTCCCTGCAACATTCACAGAAGTGGACAAGCCCCAGTTTGTAGAGGAAAATCGTCTTCCAAGGGGCCAGAACGTCCATGCAACCATGAGGATGTTGGAGGGGGAAGCCCAACGCATCGAGTTTTGTTGTCGTCGCTCTGTCCGGAGCTGCAAGGGATGGCGATGTCCGGACAAGAAGCACATTCACTGGATAAGGTCAACCGGGCTCAAGGTGGTCACCTGGGTTCGGAGATTTTCTATTCCAAAGTTCGGTCACAATGAACTTTGCTCCATCCCAAATTGGTTGGGAAAGGAAACAGAGTCTTAGAGGGAAGACGAACTGGCAAAAGCTCCATTGACCAAAGTTCTTGAAAGCGTTAAACACAGGCACTCCTACCTTCACCAACCTTGTTGCCAACGAGGGAATACCCGCAAGATCCCACAAGTATGATCATCCTCAAGTAGATAGAAAATGAGACATTTCAGCTACAGATTTAGAGAGTAGTCACAAGATCAGTCCGACTTGCCATTAAATCAACTGCAAAGAAACATGAAGTTTAGCCATGTGTTAGCCATGTGTTCTTCCCAAAGACCAGGGAAGAGCACATCTTCCCTGGTGCTTTCTTCGCCCGAACCCGCTAGCACAAGCCCTACCAGCTAGAGCAGTTGCTGAGTCTTTCACGCCCAAAATCCCCACACCACAGTGTCTAACTCACATCCTCACACCGACTCGCTCCGGTCGACGCTCCCGACGCTCCGGTCTCCGCCCGGTCTCGACCGACCGGCAACGCCGGGCAGGGGACCAAAGGACGAAAGGACGATGAACGGTAGGAACAAGTGCATCGCTACTAGTAACAAGTGCCTTACTAGTAGTAACAAGAAGCTATAAAAAACATATGACGAGTTTATTGTAGTATATTATAGTAGGGTATGCAGTGCACTGGCACGGCAGTTTTTTACGTGGTTTATATGTGGCGGGGGCAGTGATCCGTGCAGGTTTTGGGGGGGTGGTTGCTGCCGGTTTGGAGCATGGTTTCTTCCGGTTTAGTTTGGAAGTCGAGCAATCTGGAGGAATGGTGGGTTGTGAAGGATTGTGTAGATAAACCATGTGGATTGAGGATGCCAGTGGAGGTAACCACTGCTTCAAGAAGCAAACAAACCTGCACTGAAACTAAAGACAGGTTGACTCATACACGCTGGGTGACAAATTCGTGACAAATTACAGATTTTGGTGTCCACATCAGTCATTTTGAAAATCAGGAATTTTGATGTTCCACAAAGCAGAACCTCATTGTAAACACGTGAACGAGGAAACCCGGCCTTCAGCAGGTACAGCGAATCGGCATCCACGACTCGACTGCATTCCTTGGATGATTTGAAAGGCATGGTTCAAAAAGTAAATCTACAGTATGACCCAAACACTCCATGATACTCCATGTATATATTATGGTATATCCATAAATACCTATATATACTTTTGATGGTTTGAGGGGTCAAGGTAGCTACTCCATACATGGAAAGTTTGGGTATGCTTACGGGGGCACCCCAGTCCCCAGTCCAACCACCTGACATGGACCCTAAAGACAGCAACTTGCCGAGGTCCATGATCTTCCCCACATGCGCTGTGGGTTGCTTCGTTGGCCTGCAATGAGGTGTACTTCGGGATATGTTGCGTCTTTAGCCAAGACAAACATCCCCCACGCACCGTCTTCGCGCCTTCAAAACGATGCCACCTCGTGCAAAAACTATGAAATTTACCTGTTGGAGATGGTGGATCGGTTTAAAGAAAAGAGTTCCACCATGTTCCGAGCCATGGCATACCTCGCGTGGATCGATTGCAGTTGACCTTTTCCTCCCCAAAAAACGGTTGGGAATGGTCCCATTCACTCTGCCAATATTCTTGGGAAACAAATAAGTCGGTTGGTATTTCGATCATCCCAAGAGGTGTGAATTGGACAACTTTAAGTATTTGTACTATAGCGTATGATATCATATATATAGCATCCCAACTTATACGTATAAGATCGTATAAGTTTTTTTTCATGTTCGACTTCCACCTGAGCCACTCCTCGAACGCACGCCCCGCGCCGCTCCCCGAGCACCGCCTCCGCCGCTTCGCCGAGCTTCGACGATCCGGCCACAGCGAAGGTCGATCTTCGCCAGCGCGGCCTGCCGCGGCGGAAACGGCGCCAAAGGAAGGGCCGAGGTTCATCTGTGGTCTTTCCAGAAAAGACCAAGGCACGGCAAGGAAGTTTGAAACATGTTTTTGATATTATATGTTATGCTAATTTTGGTTTGGAGACACTCTCTCACTGAGAAATGTCACAGCACACACACATGACACATGAACACACGAACACACACTTAGATAATGGGTTTGCAGTTACATCTGTTCCACGCGGAAAGGAATGGCTCAACGGCAAGGTGAAGCGTCCAAGCACTTGAAGATGTTTGAAAAAAGGAGGTTCTCTCATCTGCGGAAGACTGCGGTGGTCAGCTGCAAAAACGCGGCATAAAAAGGTTTACGGGAGGTATCATGCAAACCACCATGAAAGCAACAAGGGAAAGTGGAACGGCGTGGTCAACAGTTGAAAAGGCAGGTACAGGTGGATGATCAGTCCACCCTTCCCTCGTCACACCGTAGCTTCGTTGCGTACGGTGGGTTTTACGAGCCGTACGCCCCTGCACTTAATAAAACTCTTTGGGACAGAGTGCGACACACACACAGCGCGCCGATATCGGCGCTCGAAAGATTACGAACACCTAAAAAGCCTTAGAAAGAAAGGAAAAGAAAAGACAGAAAGAGAAACGCAAAGGGCAAAAGGGAAAGATAGGTGTAGTTACGAGGCCCACTAGTTACAAAACCTTCTAGTTACTGACTTCCTAGCACTCTAGTTACTGAATGCTTAGCCCTTGACTTGAGGGAACGGTAAGAAGTGCTGGGTCCGATCAACAGACAAGAATTAGTTACTGACTACTTAGCAGTTGTTAATTAGGTGCACTAGAAAGCGAGCGGGACATTAGTCAAAAACCGCCCGGGTAGATAGGACTAGGACAGGAGAAACAGAAGGAAAGGCACCGACACGCAAGTGTGTCGAGTACCATTTCCTTCTGTTACCCTAGATAGCGGGTGGGATAAAAGTCTGAATTCGCGTGCAAGGTGGGGGGGGTGCGGAACATGTGAGAGTGCACGGAAAAGTTGGAAAAGTTCGACCGCAAGTGGACATGGATGTCAGTTGAAACTTGAAAGGCTGTGGAACGAATCTCCGTGGACCCGGCGGTGTGGTGTCTCTGTGGCTCGGCAGCATATGAGTCTGGAAATTCATGGGTGAAACGTGTGATTCCAGAACCATAATCCAAAGCGTGCAGAAACCGCAAAATCAGTAAGGTGGCAATCCGGAATGGTCTCAGCGACCCAGTGACGGGGATCACACTCTGCACCCAGTGGGACAACAGAGCGGCACACACTTAGATAATGGGTTTGCAGTTACATCTGTTCCACGCGGAAAGGAATGGCTCAACGGCAAGGTGAAGCGTCCAAGCACTTGAAGATGTTTGAAAAAAGGAGGTTCTATCATCTGCGGAAGACTGCGGTGGTCAGCTGCAAAAACGCGGCAGAAAAAGGTTTACGGGAGGTATCATGCAAACCACCATGAAAGCAACAAGGGAAAGTGGAACGGCGTGGTCAACAGTTGAAAAGGCAGGTACAGGTGGATGATCAGTCCACCCTTCCCTCGTCATACCGTAGCTTCGTTGCGTACGGTGGGTATGTATGACGAGCCGTACGCCCCTGCACTTATATAATAAAACTCTTTGGGACAGAGTGTGACACACACACACATACGGCAGTGTTTTCTTCCAACAAAAACCATAATCTGAAAAAAATCTGAAAGAACTGAGGAGAAAACCTTTTTTTGGGGGAGGTGTCGAGGGTGTCACACCGTCCACCTTTGATGTTCCACGCGATGGAACACTTCATCGTGGTTTCGCTTCCAAAGCTCGTTTTGTGCCGTCTACAAACCATCTCGGTGAAACACCCACCCTTGGGATTCTGCATCTCAAGTCTAGACTGGAAACCCCAGAATTTGTTTCCGACACAAGTGTATCGAAGCCCAAAAAAGATAGCGACACAACATCGAGTGATCATGCTGATCTGGTCATCCATGTTCTACAATTGAAAATCTGGAAACGACTGGTACATTTTCTATTGGATCCTGTTTTCCCATGATCTACAAACTCCGATATTCCAAATCAAGCTTGTGAACACTCCAGATATTCTTTGGTGGCGCTCCTTTTGCGGCGCTCATTCGGGGCTCTACATAGTTTTGCGGGACATTTTGGAGATCCTTGATCCCAATGGCTTCATTTTCTTGGGGGGAACCAGGAACCGGGGAAGTAAATCACCTACCTGTGGACGCCTGGGGCTTTGGGCATTTTCTCAGGCTGATCTCGGCATCTCGGAATCCGGCTGGTCCAAGGCTTTGACGTGGATGTCACCAAACATCGTTTCCCCAAAGGGGATGGTTCCCACTGCTTTGAACAAAGCGGCCACACTGTTCCAAAAGGGGACGTGCCGTTCGATCGTCCGCAAGAGTGTCTGTGTCCAAAAACGAGATATGTTCCTTTAAGAACTAAATAAGGACATTCCGAACTCAGGTCCCCTATAGTCTGGCCATTCTTGTCTTTGACTCCCACGGTGTGGGTAGGATCGGACAGAATCCCGTTCGATGGGAAGGACCTGATCTGCCACATCTTTTTGGAGTCTCCATTGTACTGAGCGAAGTTGAACGAGTACGAATCACCCTGGTGGTTCATCAGTGCTCGTGAACTCACCAAAGGATCCAAAAGCATCCATAGTACTATCCATAGTGCCACCTCAGTCCATGAAATGTCAAGTATGATGGACAGTCACACTGAAGCCTCTGCAACTGATTTCACGTAAGTTACTTGTCAGCATGATGCCCTCTAAGCTCTGACTGAAGCGGTCGCCCAATGCCAAAGACTTCAGATCGCCAGGCAGCGTGACCCCAGCCAAGCTCTGATCAAAACTTGAGCCAAGGATCAATGTCTGCAAAGTACTAGGCAAAAGGACATCTTCCAAAGACTGATTGAAATCACCGCCAAAGCGCAAGGTGTTCAGATTGCTGGGCAGCATGACACCTTGCAGACTTTGGTTGAAGTTATCACCAAAGATCAAGTGCAGCAGGCTGTTGGGCAACGTGACAGCCGATAAACTTTGGTTAAAACCAAAGCCAAATTCCAACGTTTTCAAACTGCTTGGCAAGATGACACCTTCTAAGCTCTGATCAAAACTGAAGCCAAAGGTCAACGTCTCAAGGCTACCTGGCAGTTCGACACCTTTCAAGCTCTGGTTGAACAAAAACCCGAGTGTCAAAGTGCGCAGCCTGTGTGGCAGCATGACCCCAGCTAATCTCTGGTTGAAGTCTGTGCCAAGGGTCAATGTTTCCAGGTTGCTTGGTAAGGCGACATCTTCCAAGCTCTGGTCAAAATGACTGCCGAAGGTCAAGGTTTGAAGGTTGCCTGGGAACCTGACCCCAAGCAAGCCTTGATTGAAAGCATTCCCAAGTATCAAAGTCTGCAGACCGCTTGGCAGGGTGACACCTGCCAAGCTCTGGTTGAAGGACCTGCCGAAGGTCAACGTCTGCAACTGGCTCGGGAGCGCAATGCCTGCCAGTGTCTGATCGAATCGATCCCCAAATGCGAGGCTTTGGAGGGCGAATGGCAAGGTGAGGTCTTCCAAGTGCTCATTAAAGTCATCACCAAGAATCAAACTTTGCAGCCGGGACAAAGTAGCAGGTTGTGGGCAGCAGTTGCAGGTCAACGACGTTAGATTGGCTGGTAGAGCAACACCAGCCCAGCTTTGCTTGAAACTGGCGCCCAAGGTCAAAGATTGCAAACTGCTTGGCAGCTGAACACCATCAAAACTCTGGTTGAACTCAGCGCCAAAGGTCAAGGTTTCTAGGCTGCTGGGCAAAACAACTCCTTCCAAACTCTGGTCGAACCTCTGATTGAAGGTTAATATTTCTAGGCTCTTGGGCCAGGTGACGCCTTGTAAGCTTTGGTTGAAATTAGTGCCAAAGCTCAACCTCTTGAGGTTCTTTGGCCAAAGAACACCTGCTATGCTCTGATCAAAGCCAAAACCAAAGACTATCACTTCAAGGGAGCTGGGAAACTCAACACCAATCAGCTTCTGGTTGAATTCTCCTCCGAAGGTCAAACGTCGCAAGCTGCCTGGCAGCAAGACACCTGCTAAGCTCTGGTTAAATTCCAGGCCAAAGGTCAATGTCTCTAGACTGTTTGGCCATGCAACACCTGCCAATGTCTCATCGAATTTAGTGCCAAAGGTCAAATGTTGCAAAGAGTTTGGAAGTCTGACCTTGGCCAATCTCTGGTTAAAGGCATGTCCCAAGGTCAACTCGTGCAAGTCAGGTAGGACCACGTCCTCCAAGCACTGATCAGCTAAGAGAAAGGTCAAGCTCTTCAGGTGTTTCGGCCAGTCCCTGACATTGCCCAAGCGTTGGTAGAAGTCATAGCCAATGGTGAGTGCTTCAATTGCATTGATAGCATTCACATCTGATAGCTTCAAAGTCTGTGCCGATACTTCTGCCAGTGCTCTTTGTAGACTCAACGCAGCCTCACCTGCACCTATCTGACGAGTGACATAGGTGATTTCGGCACTGGAGACTTGTTCCATGAGCGGTTTCGATTCGTCAAGGACCTTAGGCCAGAAGAATAGAGAATTGTGATTGGCCTTGTGTATAGAAGAGAACTCCCGCTATCTATGTTTTTCATCGTATGTTTTTCGAGGGATTTTCCTTGCGGCCACGATCACGATCCCCAGATCCCCAGGTATATTGACCGTCGTCTACCCAGTCAGGTCTACCAAGTCAAAATTAGAAGTGGAAAATAGCCAAACTTGGACCTCCAACCTACTAGCGATGGCCTCTACTAGCGATGGCCTCCAACCTACTAGCGATGGCCTCCACCCTAGTAGCGATGGCCTCCACCCTTGTAGCGATGGCCTCCACCCCTCCACCCTAACTTGGACCGGATGACCATGAAATCCTCTACAGGCAGACTGCACGGCTTACAAACAGGTGGTGAGGAGAACTCCGCTTTCATGTGAATGAGTCAGAGGGGACAAAAACAACCCTTGTAGGTGCACTCCATTCTGCTGGTTGTAGATTTAGGCTCATGGATGCTCATGGTCATTCCAACTCACTTTGATCATGTCCTCCATGGGAAAAAATACCGCACTGAAGCACCATGCGCCAAGCGGGCTCGGATCTGGCGACCATCCATCCGTCAGAAATGGCCAAGCGGCTTTCCCACCAGAGGTCAGCATCACTGCAGCACCTGGAGATCTTCCAATCGCGTGGGACACATCCGCCACCTGTGAAGCAGCCACCCGGAATGGGATGTGCTTGAAGCCCTTTTTGGAAGGATCATGAAGGATCCACATTGACCCACATTGCATTATTTGTTGTTACATCACAAAAAATAGCGAGCATTGCGGCACAGTCGACATGGGTTCTCCACGACTCTCCCGTTCCTCCATGACGGCAGCTACAGCACCGGAACCCGGCCGGCCGGCCGTTTGGCTACGAGATGCCACAAGGAGGACATGGGGGAACGGGCTCCAGAAATGAATGGAGGCAGCAAGCCAGGCCGTTTTGGTTGCGAGTTCGCCCTGACTTCCCTCCACTCTGACCTCCCATCCGACCTCACTACCATCACCTCACCTCCTTCCCCGTCCTTTTCCCCCATTTCATCCAGGCCACCGTGGTGGCGTCATTCACCTCGAGATGAAAGGTGGAGCCCTCCAGTCCGTGGAGGCTCAACCTCCGCACGCGCCGCTGAGGGCCCTCGCACTCGCGCTCGCACCTAGGCGACGACAGCGGACGGCGGTGGCGGCAGTCCGAGTCGGGTGGGTGGCGGTTCCTGCGGCCGGCAGGGTGGATCCAAGAGTCTTGAAATGGGGTCCCCAAGCCGTTGGAACTGATGGTTCTTTGTTTTCACATGTTGTTGAAACTTGAATTGTAGCTAAAAAAAACACATCCAGACTGTGATAGTGATCAAGAGCAAGCTTCTCCCACGAATCCAACGAAATCAACCATCCCATCCCACCATATCCCATATCCATCCACTTCTCATCCACCGTGCTTTTCTCGCGCCGTCCCCAATGCCGGAACCCGGTCTCGTTCCCCCTCTGACCGCGGCACAGGTCCGATCGGTCTCGCGCCGTCGGTCCAAGCACTGGTCGTGCGGAAGCGCCCGTGCCCATGGCGAAGCGGTGGAGCGAAGCAGCTGACCAGGGTCATGTATAAATCGATAGGAAAGAATCAATGGTGTGCGGGCCAAGACGAAGCAAAGGTGCTGGGTATTCTTACCGGACCGAACAAAAAGAAGAGGCTATGGACTCGAGAGATTGTTCAAAGTGCATCCAAAGTACACTTTACTCTGGATTGCTACAAAGATCTACTTTGTCTGATGTCCCGTCGCAATGATGTGCGAAGCAACCTCCCACCAAACATAGAAAATTGTTCTGTCTGGTTTTGAAGTGCCTGCGACGTATGTGAATCAATATGTGAACATGATACTTGTTGGACATGAGGCACCAGCGTTGGGTTTTCCTCAATGTTTCTCAATGTTATCCCCACATTGATCATGTGGAAATGGGTTGGCCAACAACCAAGAAAACTAGTGGAGTGCAAATTCTGCTATCCATTGCAAGTTGTGCGTCTAAAAGAGAAAACAACAAATCATTCAGTGGAGTTTGGATTTTGGTTTGATCCTGGAGCTCACGCGTGGCGCGGATGGAATTAGGTTCCATATGGTTCCGTCCGAAAGTGGTTTCGTCCATTCGTCCTTTAACCTTCCGGGGTGTGGTGTTCTGAAATCCGGTCGTGCCACAGTGGGTTCCTTACGTGCGCACGGCTCAACAAAAATAGAAACTGGCGCCACATGTGTTCCAGCCCCGAACGCCGTATCTGAGGCATCCCGAAAGTACTTGTTGACCTAATGGAGGGAGTCCATACTGTTGATCAACCGTAGGAGTCACAAATGAGTTCTTCCGTGTCCATCCGTCTGTCCACGGGTTCACGGTCGTGGTGATTCTTGTTTTCCTCTCGGAACATGTGGCATCCACCTGCATCCACATGCTAAAATGAGAACAACTCCCCAGAAACATTCATTTGCTTCCACATTCCCTAGATAGATCGAATTCCCATCATGGAGGAATCATTGTCTGACCTCAGGTCACGTCCCCAGTTGTGGGTCAAACTAAGGAACGATCCCAAAACGCCTTCGTAAAGGAAGAGTATGGAACAATCAACTCAACGCTGTGGGTTCCGGGGGTATTTTTGAACAACCTTTTGCACCCGGTCACCGTGCTCACTCCGAAACACGAACATCCCACTCCTCCCTCGCTCCATCCCTCTCCGATCCCCACTCCTCCTTGTCATCCGTGCCCGCAGCAGCTGCAGGCGCCTCCAATGAGGTCGAGAGGTCGTTGTTTTCTTTTTGTTGATGGAATCCTACACCATACGTACAACGTACCATGGTCATGATATTTCCTCCTACCGGTGGTTGTTCTAGACCACGGCGGGGATGTTTGTACCGGTGGTTGGTTGTGTCCGCCGTGACGCTTTCGTCGCCCCAACAGCCATGACGCTTTCGTCTTTTGACATCAATCAAGGCCATGAGATTGATAGCGAAACACACCAGGAATCAACACATGTCAATTGTGTATCAAGTTGTGAGTCATAACGAGTTCCTTCTGCCCAAAAAAAAAACTCCTCGGCACCAAAATCAGATGTGAAACGCCCAGGAGGCAGGTGGCATGACCTTGTTGAATGCCCCAAGTCATCAGCAAACAGTGCATTGCAGGGGAACTGAATCAAAGACTTCACATCAGTCATTGGGCATTGTGAGGCCGCCAAAAACTTCAAGATGAACATGGATAAACAGAAGTCACATCCGTCCAGCAAGAAGTCTTCTGAAACGTGCTCTCCTTTTTTCTGACACATTGATTCATGGCCGATTGAATCAGCAGTCTCTCTGCCCGGGTGTATGCAACTTGTGGCAAAGCTCGAGGATTGCCAAAGTTGCTAGGTATGGCAATGTGTCGTTATAGATTGCTGATAAAACCAAGGACAGTTTTACAAAGAGAATCTTGAAGGTCAGGGGCCTAAAATTGGAAGTGTTGCCGTGAGTTTTGGAATGGTTTAGGAAGGAGAAACAACACGCTCATCACGCAAGCACGTTTTGTGTTTGGGTGTGTGCCACTCCCTGTTCCCCAAGTGCCAATTTTATGTATTGTTCCAACATTTTTGTGATGCCCAAACCAGCTGAGCAGCTAGTGTAGATCTAATGAAAGGATTGTTGTTTTGCAAACGAAGCAAGATAAGCACGTCTGCATCAGTTTGGCTTTTTTGCAAGGACATGCAGCCTTTCTTCCAACATCCCCGCACCGCAACAGAGCTGCAGCCAGTATAAACAGGCAACAAACATCTAAGCTGGCTTTGGTCCCGAGGTGTTTTCGTCTCCGTCGCAGTCCCCATCCTTGGCTGCAGGCGTCGTCTTGTCCGGCGCCGCCTTCTGGGCTTTGGCCTACGAGGACCGTGGACCGTGGAGTGTGATGGACAGCTGGACACAAACAAAGAAACAAATTGGTAGATAGACACATAAGTAAATAGTTAGCGGGGATAGGGTTACTTTTGTGTGTAACATAAACAGAATAAATTAAGCAAATAAACATACAACACCTCAAGATTAAAACCATACTTTCGCATCTGACCTAGTCATTGATTGCAAAAAAACACATTCCCACTAGCACTGTTATTACAGTAAGACAATCCCCTCATTGTTTTATGAGGTCACGCTGCTTGACAAGGATCCAGCACCTATGCCACCTGCCGTAATAAAGCCAGGCCATGACTAGTGTACTAACTACAGTCAGAGTCAGTAAGGGTGCTAGTCATGGCTGCGGCTTATGCCTTCAATTGTTGGCAAGGCTGCAAGATTGATCATGCTCGCTTTGATGTGAACGTGTTGATTGCATGATACACAGAACACAACGAAAAGGTGCACGCTTGTCAAGGGATACATCCAATGGACAGCATCCTGGCACACTGGACCTGATAGTGTTGTGCACGTGTCGAACTTAACACCTCAGGTATGAATGAGTAGTGCTTCACTTATTGAGGATATGCCACCGCATGCCATGTCTAGCCAGGACCTCTGAGCGTAGGTGGACTGTGCCGGCCACCGTCTGCCTGTGTCCAAGCTTGTCTCCTACTGTGTCTGGAAGGTTGTCATGGCCAGAGACCTGTAATACAGGTGCATTGCGAACGGCGGCCTGGGCACCAACATGAATTCCGAGAAGTTACGCAGGTGCCCAGGCGGGGGGGGTAGACGCTTGCCTACAACAACAGCCACGTATAGCGGATCGGATCATCTCAGCTGTGCGAAAAACCTTTTTCGCATCCTCAGGGTCACCAGCAATTACAATCCCAAGAGTGGGATGCCATCGTAATCCACAGTAGTGGACTAGAAAGGAAACGGGCCACGAGAACATTCCTAGGTTCCAGAAGGCTCCAACCACGGAACCGGCAAAGCAATAACAAAAATGATAACAACAACAACCACAACAACCACAACAACCACAACCACAGCAACCACGGCCACAAAAAACGACAACGACAACAACCACAACGACCAAGGGACATAAAGTCACTACTACTACTACTACTACTACTACTACTACTACTACTCCTGCTGCTGCTGCTGCTACTACTACTACTACTACTTCTACGGGCTTCGGCGGGTGCGGGTGCTCTTGGCCTCGCCTTGCTGGGCGAGCTTTGGGACGTGACGCCACCGCCCTGGCGAGCGACGACACGAAGAAAAACGGACAAGGGGTCAACGTCTGGCGAACGGGGTGGGGAACCATGTGGGAAGCACCTTGTGTCTAGAAATGAACCTTATGAACATGTGGGTTCCTATCTTCTGCCAGGATACATCTTCCGCTACCTAGGGCCTAGGGGGAATTCCAAGTTGGCCCAAATGGTCCTACATGTCTGGGGATTTGCTCAGCCTCTGTGATTGATCACCTCTGTGATGCGCTCGAATGAAGGACCAAACACACAGATATAAACACACGATCAAGGACTATACTGGTATTATATAAGTAGTCGCCAAGCGTGACTTCCTAGCGAGTCAAACACAAACCATTGTATGTATATTATATATATAGTATATAATAATATTATATATATTTACGTACTTATGTATGTATAGACCACTCTATATCTCCATTCTATATCCCCTCTGTATAGAAAACCTATTTCTGATTTAGAAAGAATCCATTGCACATGTCTTAGAACCAGAAGGCTGTAGGACCATGCGGAACCAGGGACCAAAGGCTCTGCCGTTGACCGCTGTCAAAGTCCAGAGGGTTGGAGTGTTTCTGCTGGTCATGTTGAGATGAAGAGATATGTTATTGTTATTGTCATACACTAAATGATGTGTATATGATTAGGTTTATTCATACCACTTAAAAACCTTTATTAGTCCTTTTTTAAGGCAGTCCTATGATGATGATATCGTTGTTCTTTCTTCATTATCGTTTTATAGTGGGCTGAGCATTGCTTCTGGCAAAGTGGACATGCAAAGGTTACTTTCCTAGATCTGTATTCTCAAGATGGTGCTCAAACATGAGTAACACGCTGCTTTTTTGTTGGGGGTTTGAACCATCCGGCGCCGATGCCCAATTATTAGGTTTTTTTGGAGAAGGGTCTTGCAGATAACATCCTCAAAAAGCAGAGAGGTGACAGAATCGCGATCCTGAGGTTCGGGGGAAATCGGCACTGACAGGTTCATTTACATTCTTCATATAATATAGATACCACTACAATAGACTATATAGATACCCTAACCCGTTTTGACTTCCGGACACGCAGGATGGGGTGACAACTGGCACAACTCTATTCAGTTTCCATCTACTCAGCTGTGTGCGAGCATGGGATCTGTTCCATCTACTCTGCCACCAGGGTAAATGTTTCCAACCTCCTCCTTCTGTCCACTTGCGGGTTTTCGCCGGTACAAATCCAACGCAAACGAAACTCTGTTCTTTGTCTAAATCTATATCGCTCGACCATGCACTTTCCAAAAAATCAATTTCAAGGATTAAATATATCTAAAATGATTCCAAACTGCCATCTCAGCCACTTCTGATTCTTCAAACCTCCAGATTCCGATTTCAAGACATCCCATCTCAGCCCCATCTCTCCCACGTCTGCCTTCTCCCAGGAGTAGGTCGTATGACCCGGTGGGCACTGTGAAGCACTGGCCGCCCAGATCGTGGAGAAGCCCTGGCGCCGCGGATGGAATGGCGGAAGCCTTGTTGGCGGATCTGATGTATTTGTTTGTCCAAACACGGTTGAATTTGCCGTTGGGTGGTCTAATAATTGGATCCATCTATGATCCAAAAAAAAGCTCGCAATTCCATGGTGAGGGCTTCCGAGAGAAATCTTGTCAAAAAGAGGACTCAATGTGAGCTGGAGATGTTTTTCCTCTGTCCTAAACCATTAGATCTTTCCTCGAAGCAGGATGAATCTGCGGGGTACTACGCCCAAACTAGCAGTTTGTTGGAGTATTTCTCTGGAATTTTTAGGGCACAACCCTGGACCCTGCAGGCCCCGGGTTACCAGCGTGCTGAGCATCGAGTCACTCGATACAGCTCCGATGCGGGCCCTCATTCCCGATCAACATATCTACGATTATATACGTATGTGCTGTTGCTCCATGATGGTTTAGAGCTCTTGTTGACCCCAGATGTTCCGGGAGATCTAAAAGTTATTACGCCAGCATAGACCCCCTTTCTGGAAAAACATCGGAATATCTCCGAATTCATCCGAATTATCAGTCCGTGTCGTACCGTTGGAACAGGCGTCTCCATCGGTCACTCTGGACACCGAGACCTAGAACCGAGACGCGACAGACTGGGCGTGGGACATCCGGGCTAGACCGGGCTTGGCGTTGTTTTTGTGTTTTTTTCAGGTTCATGGCGGTATGGGTTTTCATCCGTAATAGATCGTAATAGCGTGTTTTCTTTTGGTTTTCAGGTTCCAGGGTGGGTCTTAGACCCCCTCCGATGGTCCGAGTCGGTCCGTTTGGCCGGCGACTCGGGACGCGTCACCCCACCGGACCGAACGGACCGAACGGGAGCAGGACGCCGTCGCCCAAGCAGCTGTGCTCACACGCGGGTGGATGAACATGCCACGAGTTGGGGTGACTCAAACTTCATGGAGTTTCCAAAAGACTCAGAATGGAGGGGTTCCAAAAAAGAAAGAAATTGCCACCTGCAATTATAACACATGCAGTTCATAGATGTCATCCCCATGTGGGTCTACCAGTTTGTTATATGTTGTTTCTTCTGGTCGGTCATCACCGGCAGCTCCTCACCTTGTTCCCACTCTCGGTACGGGTCCACGAATAGGTGGTGTGCCCCGGAGGCACGACATCTCCTGGTGCCACGAATAGGTGGTGCAACCGCTTGCAGTTGCGTTCAACGGGAAACAGGATTTTTGGAACCTGGCCCCAGGAAGTGGATTTAAACAAAAAAACAAAAAGCAAAAACATTCACCCTAGTAAGCAAAACAAACACCGCCTGGGCAACACTTCAAGGGCTTGTATGGGCTTGAGGGCAACAACCTCCCGAGCAACATCAACAGCGACCACATCGAGGGCTGTTCTCATAGGTTGGAAAGTTGAAATGAAGGCTTGCGACCACCGGGTCTGAGGTCTGGCAATCCATTGTTCAAATTGTTCTTTTTTGCCCACTCTGCTCCGAATCCGATTTAATTTCACCACCTGTCAACGTCGGGGTTGCACAATGACAGTGGTTTCAAGCCAGACAAACAGCCTTCATTTGACACTTGGTGACTTAATGGATTGATCTTCTCATTCCTAACGCTTCCCTTTCTCTTCGCAGCGCTTCCCGCTTCCCTTACCGCCCGTCGTCCGAAGCTTCGGTCGTCCTGTTGGGGACCAAATGCCACCAAAGCCTGCGACGATCAGTGAGACCCAGTGATTCCTCAACTAACTATAATATACTTTACCAGGGAATCCAAATGTGCATGTTTTTTGTTCAAACATGTTCGCACAAAAAATCCGCGCATCCGGCCTTTTTTGTCAAATGGGCAAAATTTTCTGGAATTCCTCCGAATATTGAGTTTGATTGGGCTTTATCAATATAATTGTGTGGTTTTTTGTCGATAAAATGTTGATAAAGTTTGGGTTTCATATGGGTGCGCTTTTGTACGGTATTGTTATTTTGTCCATACGGCTAAATACGCTAATTCGTTAATTAAAATGTCCATACGATCAATTCTGTCCAAATACGGCCTTCGCACAAAAAAAAAGTGTTCATACGCCTTTCCAGGTATTACTATATTACCCAGTATAGCCTAGGATACCTAGGGCCTATATAGGCTATACCAGGAAGGAATGACTATCAGGGCCTTTTGGTCGACTATACCGGTGACTCTTTGTATAGGCTCATAGGCGCGTAGATGCGCGTAGAAAAAAAAGCTGAAAAAAGGCTGAACAGTGCCATTACTTCAAACAACTACCCTCTGCAAATCCAATTGCTTCGCCAATGCTCAAAAAATAAATGTCTTTGACTTCCGTCGAAAACAACGTAAAAAAAAGAAAACGCGGACGCCTTGTGGCCCCGGCGTCTTCGACTTCGACGCGGGTGCCTGGTGAAGCGAATGGGAAGCTGGGGGTCTTCCAGCGTCCAAGGGACTCTTGGAGATACTCCTGCACGATTGTGGAAGCCAGGAAGTGAAAAGTGTCGGTCCATGCTCTGCAACTCCATCAATATATAGGTGGAAGGTGGGTACTCGTCCCGGAACCGCGGCTTCACCGACCATCTCTCCATCCCTGTTTGAACCGACCATCGCATCCGGGTTGCCGAGCCTCGTCGGCCCGGCGAAGCGGGCGAAGCGCGGGTCGTCCGGTGGGGTGGTCGTACCAACTGGCAAGGGGAAAGTCTCTAGTTCGGTTCGTCGAAGGAGACTCTGCATCCAAAACATGTGGCAATGGCAAACATATTAAGGGCTTACAAAGTAAACATGACCTTGAATCTCTAGTCTTTGCTGGGTTCTGTTGACCCTATTTCCTTGGACCATTGTTGATGGTCGCATTGCCCCGTCCGGTGCCGCGCGGGTCTGCCTTGCTGGAGGAAGACTTGTTGGTTCCTGCAGCTGCGCCCAGAGTCGTGCTTGGCTGCATGCTATAAGCCTCAGCGCCCGCGAGCTCGCAGCGCTGCGCCGCAGTCGTGACGGTTCCGTGCGGACCACGTGATCTCCGTCCATCGATGCAGCGCCGTCTTCGACGACCCCCTGAGACGCAGCTGCAATGATCCAAACCAGTCTAGGTCAACAATGTCTTGTACGGATCACAAACTGTTGCAAACATTTAGACCCACAACCAAAGTGGTGACAGTAGATGGACAGTCCTGCACTCGACACCTGTTACACCTGTTCGAAATGACATACCAATCTATCACTACACCACCATGCAGGACGAGGAAGTTGCTTTTTATCATGTTTGATCTCTTGCATCATCCTCCAGAACTCCCCGAAAACTGTATCATCCTCCGGTCCGGTGGTTTTTCTCCCCCCAAACCCACCAATCCTCCCTCCGCTCCCACCCTCCGATCTCGATCCGATTCTCGGATCAGGTGCTAAGAGATGCCAACGGTACTCCTGTGTCTGGGTGGACCCATACACTTGGGCAAAGGCACCTGAGGGGGGCACAGATGCCACGACGCTCCCGAAGGCGGGAAGGCTGGCCGGCAGTGCGGCAGTTCTGATTCACCGGAAGAAAACCAGCGATGCAACATGGCATGGTTTGGTGGTTTGGCTCGGACATGGTTTGAGTGGTGGTTTTGGCAAGGTTTAACATTTACAAGCCGAGTGAAGTCTCAGCATGTTCAAGGTGATAAACACGTGGCTTTTGACCCCCCAAGATGCGGTTTCCAAGTGGATGATCTGCTGCAGAATCCTAAGTCCCTTATATAAATAATAGACCAGTCAAACAACTGCAGCAATTCATTCGAATGGATAGCAGCCACCACATTGTTCAAGGAATGTAACTTCTGGCTCCTTCTTAAGTCTAATTAACATGTCATCACATCCATCCTCTACTACTTTAGAAGCACCAAACGGTCGGAATTCACCTCCGGTGAGAGCGCTTCTTACCTCGTAGCCTTCGCGCCTTGGATTCACCGAAAGAGCGATTCTCGAAAAATGGGGACCTGTGGATGGTTCTAATATGGTTCCGGAAAAAAGGGTTCAATTCATATGCTGCAATATGGTCTCAATTGGTTGTGACTCTTTTTCAAGAGTCTCGAAAAAAATGTGCCAGCTGCCATCGAATTGTTACAGAATGTACAGAATCGCCGCAGAGATTTCACTGGTTCGCTAAAGAATCCAAGCTCTGAAGATATACAGTAATATAAAATAAGGAGCGGTAAAAAACATAATGTTCTTCTTCAACTAGAAAAAACGGCCTTGTCGTTTTACAGTGTTGTGAGTTTGCCACATACTTTATGATTCTATGACGAATATATGCAGATTAACGGTGCTGGGGATATCACTTTTGAGGTGGACCTTGTCCTTCTTCAGAGTTTTGTGGACCAACTGCCTGCTCTCTGCCTAAGGGCCTTGACCGCATGGTGACAAATCATTGCTGGACGATCGTCCAAGCGCACCTGCCTGCATCCACTGCGGCTGCGCCAGCAGCGCCAGCGTCTCCCTTGGGTGCGTCAGCCTAGTGACTGGGCGAAGCTTTCGATCCATGTGAGAAGGGATGGATCTAGAGTCATCTTCAAGTAGATAGAAGATGTGAAACATCCGAAAAAGAATGGACACGTGGTATAAACTGGTCATGTGTTCGGATTGAGACATATCATATCTACTCCGATCCAGGGTGGTTACAAGTAGAATGAGACTCCTCATGGACTTGCTTGCAGTTATCCTACCGAGCGTCCACAACTTTGACTGGAATCGGACCCAAAGCGTGGAATCGGTTGCAGCTTTTGGCAGATCCATCCGATCCATCCATCTCATCATCCAATATGTCACGCTCCATCACAACAAAACAGGTAACTGGTGAGCTGACTATGGCACATCAATGAAATATTCATTGCAATTGCAATTGATATTGATGATCACTGCTAACTGATAGAAACATATAGAAACCATGGTTGATCAGGGTTACCAACCAATGTTGCCGAAGCTACTCAGCCTAGACTTTTTGTCCTCTCTCTTATGTCCTCTTGCAGGAGCAAAGACTGACATGACGCACTTCTGAAACTCAAAAAACATCACTACAATCGTATCAAAACCTGTCGAATTGTCCAGAAAATAATGAATTGCCCTATTCACACACACATTGTCATGGCTGACATCCAAAACACCTCTAGCAGTACACTAGGCTCTTGGGTGTTCTGATGTCTTTCCATATATTTCCTCATCCAATGTCAGACAGACTCACCCTTGCTCTTCACCCTTGCTCTTCAATCGCTAAGTAGACGAGTTCCAAGAGTTCCCCGTCTGTTCCACTCCAAGACGATCCGGACCGCTCACCACGCGAGCGAGAGAAGCAACCCAATTCCGCTGGTCGGTCCGGCCGTGGCACACCGCGATGAGACCCCGCACCTTGCGCTTCTTCCCTTCCTTCCCTTCACCTTTCTCCTCCTAGGCACTGGAGACACGGGTCGTCTCCACCGATGCCAAACGGTAGCTAGTAGTAACAGGTGCCTTACTAGTAGTAACAAGAAGCTACTAGGAACAAGTGCCTTACTACTAGTAACAATAAGAATTTAATTAGAATTAGGGGGGGGTGGCATAGTCTGAGTCTGCCCTATGTGGTACACACCGAAAACACGCACTCGCCTTTGGTGCCACCGGCGCCGAGTACCTGCGCTGCGACAGCGCGCGGTAGGCTAAAATGGATGCGTTGTCGCAGGATCCAAGCACCCAAAATGGACCAAAAGGACCCTGTCTGGGCTCCTGAGCTGCGACAGTGACCTACATCCCTGACCTACATCCGCATCCTGAAAACCTGCCAGGTATGTGCCTCACACAGAAATCCAACAGCTGGGCAGCCGCCCCAAACAGCTCGGGGGGGTAGCTGGTCGACCACGAGCGAAGCCCGAGCAGCTCGTGGCGGATCCACAAGGAGATGTTCGATTGTTTCATAGTTCTTCTCAGCATCTGGTGCTGTTTCGGATATTTGGATGTATTTGGTGGTTTCTATAGAAACTGGTGAGGTCTTTTCCAAAACAATGGATGCAACTCGAAGGTTGCCTCCACCAGCCCCTCCAGGACGGTGTGGACGGTGTGGACTCCCTCACCCGGTGGAACAGCGGCCATCGTCCTTGGGTCTTCACCATTTGGAAGTGTTCTTGTTGGTCCCACGAGCCAGTTCAAAGCTCAAAGGGAGATTCAACTTGAGTCACTAGGAAGTTTTCCTCACACCGGCAGACATGTTCTGAAACCACTTTCATGACAATGATCCGCGGATCTAGATCACTAGATCCGAGTGGTTCACTTCCGAACTCTTGGCCTGTATGACTTCTTTGATTCTTTGGCAAAAAAGAAACTGATGAACTCACTTCCGACTTCTTCCAGTGGATCACATGCTTTCAGAACAAGGATGGATGCGCACGAAGGTAGCACTGCCCTGGACTTCGCGTCGTCGGCCAAGGACTGCAGCGCAGGCTTCCAGGCCTTGGCCTACGTTCGAGTCATCAGGGGGGTTGCTACGTTGTGGCGCCGTTGCGTGCGTTGTGGGGGACTTATTAGGGAAGTTCAAGCAATGAACACATGGTCTTCACTTCCAGCAATTTCCTATGTTCTTCCGGGTTGAGTTCAAGGATATATATATATATATATTATGTGATATATTCACTGTTTATTGGTTTCTGGTGTTGTCCTTGTGAGTTGTCATTGCTGCTCCAACTGTGGTTTGCCATTATTGGCCATGTGTTTGACATTGATTCTCTTTGCCGTTGGTGTTGCCTGGAGGCACATCTTCGAAGCTGTCGCTGCTGTCACTAATTAAATGGGTTACACTGTTACACTCCCTGGAAATAACCTGCAAGTGAAAAATGCCCCCTTGGAAAATAACTTTCCTCTACAAACAAACACGGGGTTTTCCACTTCCATGTTAGTTCCAGGGAGAGTATCATTGCTGTTGCATCCATCGTGCGACAGTTGTCACAGCGGAGTTGCCTCCATCGGCAGTGATAGACGAGAACGGTGGGGTCAAACAGCAAATAGAGGTCATCAACGAAGACTCTCCCGAAATCACACAGGTGGGGTGAAACTTGATCAAACGCCCAGGGCCCCGGCTGTGCAAATCCTGACCCCCCCCAAGTCACCCTACAAAGATCCTGTCAACCCGGAAATGTCTAAGGAGTAAGGATTCTAAGGAAATGCAGCAGTCTATTCAGCAGGGTATATATTCGCAGCCTGGGACTCGAGGGTGCGGTGAATATTGGTCAAGAGTCCTTGTTGTTTTGATCATCTCCCCGGTCTTTTCAATCAGATTTTCAAAAAAACATGTCCTGCTTCTATACAAAGCTTAGCGCGTGCCCACCCGTGCTTTTGGGATGCTTAGACCCGCGGTGCTCAAAAGCCAGGACGGGAAACAAAGGACGAGGCATGGACGTGCGAAGGGTCAAGCATCTACGTGCACCGACCAACGCGGCGAATCGCCCCCGGATGCGGAGCATCGCCGGGGTATACGATTCTTGGTGTGTTGCAGAAACGTGTCGCCCAAGAGATCCTCGTCTCTGTCGCTCTGTAAGAAAAACACTCTGCTCCGACAAGGTCATTGCTTCCCCACCATGATGGGTGAGGAACCCACTGGCGCAGCTCCAACGCGAACATTGAAAGGCCCGCTACAAAGTTCGCGCAAGCTGCTTGGCAAGACGATGCCACCAAGGTTGTCAAGGTCAAAGGCATGACCAACGGTCAAAGTCTGAAGACTGTTTGGCAAGGTGACACCTTCCAAGCTCTGGTTAAAGTCATTGCCGAAGGTCAAAGTCTGAAGACTTCTTGGCAAGACGACACCTTCTAAGCTCTGGTTGAACTCCAAGCCGAAGGTCAAACACTGTAGGCTGCTTGGCAAGGTAACACCTTTCAAGCTCCGATTGAAGCGGCTGCCGAAGGTCAAAGACTGCAGGCCGCTTGGCAAGGTGACACCCTGTAAGCTATGGTTAAAGTAATCGCCGAAGGTCAAAGTCTGCAAGCTGCTCGGCAAGGTGACACCTTCCAAGCTGTGGTCAAACCATTCGTTAAAGGTCAAAGTCTGCAGGCTGCTTGGCAAAATTACACCTTCCAACCTTTGCTTGAACCCAGAGCTGAAGGTCAAAGTCTGCAAGCTGCTTGGCAAGGTGACACCTTCCAAGCTCTGGTTGAATGCGCCGCCGAAGGTCAAAGTCTGCAGGGTGTTTGGCAAGGTGACACCTTCCAAGCTCTGGTTAAACGCGCAGCCGAAGGTCAAAACCTGCAAGCTGCTTGGCAATGTCACACCTTCCAAGCTCTGGTTGAAGTACTCGCCCAAGGTCAAAGACTGCAGGCTGCCTGGCAAGGTGAGACTGTCCAAGCTCTGGTTGAACTTGCAGCCGAGGGTCAAAGTCTGCAAGTTGCCTGGCAAGGTCACACCTTCCAAGCTCTGGTTAAAGTACTGGCCAAAGGTCAAACACTGTAAGCTGCTTGGCAAGGTAACACCTTCCAAACTCTGGTTGAACATTCTGCCGAAGGTCAACGTCTGCAGTTTGCTCGGCAAGGTGACAGCTTCCAACCTCTGATTGAACTCATAGCCGAAGATCAAAGTGTGCAGGTTGCTTGGGAAGGAAACACCATCCAAGCTCTGGTTGAACTTTGTGCCGAAGGTCAAAGCTTGCAGGCTGCTTGGCAATGTGACACCTTCCAAGCTCTGAGTGACGCGGAAGCCGATGATCAAAGCTTGCAGGCTGCTTGGCAAATCAACACCTTGCAATCTGTGCTTGAACTCACAGCCGAAGGACAAAAACTGCAAGCTGCTTGGCAATGTCACACCTTCCAAGCTCTGGTTGAAGTACTCGCCCAAGGTCAAAGACTGCAGGCTGCCTGGCAAGGTGACACTGTCCAAGCTCTGGTTGAACTCCAAGCCGAAGGTCAAACACTGTAGGCTGCTTGGCAAGGTAACACCTTCCAAGCTCTGATTGAACTTGCAGCCGAAGGTCAAAGTCTGCAGGCTTTTTGGCAAGGTCACACCTTCCAAGCTCTGGTTAAAGTATTGGCCAAAGGTCAAACACTGTAGGCTGCTTGGCAAGGTAACACCTTCCAAGCTTTGGTTGAACATTCTGCCGAAGGTCAACGTCTGCAGGTTGCTCGGCAAGGTGACAGCTTCCAACCTCTGATTGAACTCAAAGCCGAAGGTCAAAGTCTGCAGGCTGCTCGGTAGAGTGATACCTTCTAATCTCTGGTTGAACTCGCAGCCGAAAGTCAATGTCTGCAGGCTGCTTGGCAACATCACACCTCCCAAGCTCTGGTTAAATTGCTGGCCAAAGGTCAAAGATTGCAAAATGCTTGGCAAGGTGGCACCTTTCAAACCCTGGTTGAACTGCACGCCGAAGGTCAAAGACTGCAGGCTGCTTGGCAATGTGACACCATCCAAGCTCTGGTTGAACTTTGTGCCGAAGGTCAAAGCTTGCAGGTTGCTTGGCAATGTGACATCATCCAAGCTCTGGTTAAAGCCCTGGCCGAATGTCAATCGGGTGATGGCATCTGTCTTGGTGGCATGCGCGTGGTCTCCCCTCCCCTCTGCAAGAGCCCTTTGGAACCCCATCGCTGCCTCCACTGCACAAACCTGTCGAACGAGATATGAGATCTCTCGGCCTGACTTCCCAACATCCTGCAAAGGCTTGGACATCTCCTCCAGCATTTCACTTCCAGCAAAGAGAACAAGTCTTCCACCAGCTTTCGTGCCAACTTTTGCTGCAATGCTCTTGTAGAGATCGCCGACCTGAAGAGAGCCGAGTCTGAGTTGAGTCTGAGCTGTGTTGGCAAAACAAGTTACAATACAAAGCCAGCCTTTTTCAGCAACGTCCAATCCTAAATAGCCGCATCCAACAGAATACCCAGCTCAATCTATTGATAATCGACTCGGATTTTGTGGCGAGATGTGGCGAGCTCCTCTCACAGCTCTCAACCCACTCACTACCAAGTCTCTGCATAATCCAAGGGAATGGACGAGACCTGGTGGTGGGATATTGTGGATCATGTGGTACGTGTTCGTGTTTTTCCTTGCCACATGGTCAGTAGTTGTTCCTTGCACTTTCAGCATTATCTCTCCTGTTCCTGCTGTCTCTAGTCTCAGAATCTAGCTTCTGACGGACCCTTCAGTATAGTTATAGTTTTCTTCTGAAAGAAGGCCCCGTGCTTAGATGATGTTAATCATGTTTGTCAGGCTTGGTATGGTCCTCAAACATCTTGACATGTTTGGGGATTAACTGCAAGGTCCTCTCACTTTCGCATAAAAACTGCCCACTGCGAACCAACGCTACTTCTGCTACTTGCTCTTCGCCCAGCAAGAAAGACATGCACACCATGCGTCGTTCGTCGCTTCGTCCACGTCACGTCGTATCCCAATGTCCTGACCGCCAAGGCGCGGTGGAGCTGTCAGCTCTCGTCTCGGGGAGCTGAAAGGTGGTGCCATCGAGGCCATAGACGGTCCAGCGGTGGTCGCTCGACCTCGAGAGACGCACAGTGAGAGACGCCCAAGCACGACCGGACGGCGACGCTGACGTTGGGTCGCGCAGGCCAGTTCGTGGCACTTATATACCGATGGGTCGATCAGCTATTTTGCGTTTATTGGGCACTGGCAGGTGGGTTCATGAAGAGCGATTTATTAAGTTGATAGCATTACAGCAACACCTTTGGGCTGGTAGTTTTGCGAGAGCTGCAGATTTGGATGGTCATCATGAAACATCGAGAATACCCTCAAACTCAGAAAGAAAATGCAACCGGAAAGCCGCTGTCCATTTCTGACAGCCAATCGCAAACCCTATACTCGGTTCATTTCTTTGCCTGACGACCTCCCCAAGACGTCCACGGGACCCTGATTTTGAGATAGTTGGCCTGACGAAGTCCTAGAGGTTTTTGGTATGCCGACGCCGAAGTTTTTGCCGACGCAAAAACTTCCTCCCAAAAAGAAGCGACTCCTCCATGCAGGGACCATCAAGATGAGATCCTGGGATTGTCAAACCAAAATGCACCCGCGTCTTGACCGCACTTGCCCTCCAAACCATCTCAGGTTGTGATCTTCCAAACCAGTTTACTTTACATCTAGTTGCTTAACATATTTCATACCTTGGGTCTATCCCATTAACAATAGCAATGGATGATGATGGTGAGTAAATGGTGTTGTTCAAAAAATAGTGATACTTTTTTTTACAGACTGTTACAGGTATTAGGACAGATCCTGGCGCCATATACCACTTGAAAACTGAAAGACCTCCTGACCTGAGCAGCCAGTGATGGGGTTCAGGTGATCATAGTCAATTACTTCATCCCCCTGGATGGGTTCAGGTGTTGGCATTCTCTAAGGAATCCGGTTGGTCCTCCCACTCACTTTCTCCATTTGCTTAAAGAACGGCCGCTTTTTTCTAGGCGTTGACCCCTCCCATTTTCAAAGCCGAGTATTAATAGGGGATGTTACTTCCATAGGTGCAACCGCTTGAAACCCCAATACCAAGCTGCTGCTCTGCTGTGCTGGCGCTCATGGCAGGTGACAGGTCGATGTGCTTGTGACAGGTCGATGGGGATGTAAGCACTTCTCAGTGTTTTGCCGCGATTCTCTTGTGGATGGGTCACTTCCAGTTTTGGTTCTCAGTGGAGCATATTGGTATTTGGGACCATTCCTCCATCCCCCAAGACTCTAGTATGTTGCTTCCATGATTTGTCAACACTTCTCGCTTTTGCCTGAGACGAGTGAAAACTGAGGCAGCGCGGCATGAGCACAGGGAAGGTGTGGAAAATCATACAGCAAGGTGACCAAAAGTCGGTTGCAACCTGTTGCAACTCTGGAGGAAAGCCTAGGAAAGCATCGTCTTCCCCACCCAAGCTGCTGGCAAGCCGATTTGCCGAAATCTCCCAAAAACCCTCTCACTTGCCCCACCCAGTTAGCCCCATGGCTCATGACCGCCGAAAAAGAAAGCAAAGATCGGTGTCCGTCTCCTGCCTTAGCTCCTTGGTCGGCGATCTCCGCTGGGAGCGCTTGACCCAAGGCACGGCGCAAGGCGACCTCGGCCGCGAGTGGAGTTCCTCACGCCCGCCCACCCCCGCAGGGGGTGGGCGAAGAAAGAGATGGAACCACCCTTTAAGAACAAATGGTGACCCTAAAAGCTCCTGGTGTCTACAAGTATGAGGAAACTAGTATTGCAAGCTGGGTTCTGTATGGTTGTGTCCTTACTTTTGAACGGGGTGGTGGACATAAACAAGATCAAAAACAACCACACACTGTCGGAAAGAAAGCTGTCATAAAACCCACGTGGGCATTTGGCCACATCTTCTGATTTAGTATATTTTACATACAGCCTACAAATAGGTACCTAGATGGTATATACTACCCCTGAAATAGTATGACATGTACTTTTTGCGGGTATAAGGTGTATACATATATATATAGTTGATTATATTTGTTTGTAATATGTACCGTATTGGACTTGTTGCTTGTTTTCCTTCATTCCGTCTTTCCCGGTATCCACCGGTGGGCATGCTCCGTGGGGTGAAGAAACCAGTAGAGTTTCAGCTCGTCCTTCCAGTTGAGATGCTGAGTTTGAGGGATGAAACTGGATGCTGAGTGGATGCTGAGTGAACAAATATATCTTTCAGCATCCACTTTTATGCGTCGATTCAAATACAGGGGATGCTGAGTTTGAGGCTGAACTGTTCAACGTCGAGCAGATTGGTGTTGAAACATGTTGAAACAGAACATGGCACAATGCTGTCATATGGTCTCATTGGTCTTATGGTGGCAACGAATCTGCAAATAACACATGAACATCAACTGCAGCAGCAGCAGCAGCTCCTGCTGCTGCTGCTGCTGCAACCAACCAACCAACCCGACCCGACCCGACCTGACCCGACCCGACCCAACCAACCCCACCCAAGCCACCCCACCCAAGCAACCCCACCCAACCACCCCCAACCCCACTCACCCAACAACAAGAATAACAACAAGAACAATAACAATCAAATGAAAACAATTAGCAATAACAAGAACGGCAAAAAACACAAGACCACAAAGACCAACACCACCACCATCAGCAGCAACGTTCAAATAGGGTCACTAGACATCTCTTAGACTTAACTGTTAACCCACGTCAATAATCGTTGATGAGATGATTTACCAGCTCTTCGGATCTCAACAAAAAGGTAAACAAAAAACACCAGTTCCCCCAAAAGAATAATTCGCTGATCACCAAAAAAGCTCGCGGCTCACTCGCAGAACGATCGGATCGATGAAACGGAGCAGCACTCCCTCGCCTCCTTGCAGGTCGCCGCATCGAAGGGCGCCAAGAGACCCGGCTTCGCCTCCTGGGGAAGGCATATTAAAATGTGGTGTCTACTACTACTCCTACTTCTCCTACTACTACTACTACTACCACTACTACCACTACTACCACTACTACCACTACTACCAC